GCAATATTTATTCCATAAGAGATAGATAAATATAACGAGAAAAGAGAAATAGAAGAGAAATGTTTTTTTAAAAAATATATGTATATGCCTGTGTCATTCATAGAAATATTTTTATTATTTTTTATCGATCAATAGAATTTTTTTATTTTTTATTTTATTAATAATAATAATAATATTATTATTATTATTTATATCTATCTAGCTATCTTCAAAATGAATCTATAAAATGAATATTATTAGTTATTTCATAATATTTTAAAATTTCCCCCTACCATGTGGACTCTCTCTTTCACATACGCATATGTACATACAGTCGCTTGTGACCCTCTAGATCAACAGGAAGTCAACAAATTCCGAAGAAGAAGAAGAAGAAGAAGAAGACGTATATCTCTGTTATTTTTAAATAAAAAATTGGGAAAAAGTTCACTTGTGACCTGTTCACAAGTACATGATTCGATTATTTTAATAGTTTGCTCTTTCTCTGCAAATTACACTGAATCTTGGTTAAAAAAATGGAGAAAAGAAAAGGATCAAGTAAGCTGTTGAAATCAATAGAAAAGTAAGCAGGTAATGTGGGCAGCCATTGACGCAGCAAAACACAAGAACGCAAGGAAAGGAACCTGCTCTGATACCACCTGACGCAGCAAAACACAAGAACGGAAGGCTGGACAAAACCTCGCCTTCACAATGACAATCTCTGTTCCAGAAACTAAGAACAGGGGAAACCAAAAGTCACGTTGATTTTCTTCTTCCTATCTGCCGCCACCAAAATTAAAGAAGGCCTTATATATCATCCTAGGTTTTATGTTTTAAAACTAACTAATTAAAGAACAGGAAATAATATAAATCTGGGCCAGGTCCATCTCTTCTTTAATCAGCCCGGTCCTTAAACTTCAGCAGCTACGTTCCACGCCAGTGATGGACTTGATATTTGCATTTGAATACATATAAGCATAAACAATTAATATTGAACCGACCATTTTAGTTAATGTTTGATAATTATTCCAATGCCATCATGTCATTAATCCATGCTTTTAATAATCTTGGTTTCTGTATGATTTCATCTTGTCCGGGAATATAATTGCCTGGCCAGGTTTGTTAATGAATGTTTGCTACCTCCCTCTCCTCGAATAATCTCATCTGCTTAAATTTGTTAATCCCTGGACGGCTAAGTGGGCTGCGCGGAAATAATTTTTCTCTTTTCATCCTACTCTTTGTTGTTGTATGTTTGGGCTATAATTAATTAGCCCTTTCGGTGATTCCAAATCACTGTCTAAATTAGTAGCTCCCGATTTTGGAATGGGATTCTTATCCAATTTCTTATTTACAAGAAGGATTCTATCGGCTATTAGTTTTCTTCATTTTAATCCTCTATCGATTTTTTAAAACAAAACTCTTGGCCTATGCACGGAATCCAGGAGCGGATGTTTCCGATAGAAACGTCTTGTCATTTTATTGGATCCATATTTGATACGTTAAATTACATGTTTGATATGATTGTTTAATGACAAAAAAATACTCTCAAATTATTTGCTATAACAATTTAAAGCTTATATTATCAATTCAGATTGTTAATTTGTACTTCAAACAATTATTTTTTAGACAAATATTATATTTTTTTCTAGTATTTTAAATTATCAAAACATTGATTATTAATTAGAATATGATTTAATAGTAAATTTTGCCTTCAAAGTATTGAGGTTGTGACAAGATAAAGGCTATACTATCAATTTGAGTTATTTAGAATGTTAGTTTTTGGATAAATTTTATCCTTCTCCATTATGGTTTTTTTTTTTTTTTGAATTAAAATTAAATTATATATTTTTAATCATACTTAGCTTTAAAAACATTTAGATGATTTTTTGTTGTTTATTAATTTGATTTTTGTTGTTGGATAATTAATGATGTGTAATGGATCAATCTAATAACAAAAAAATTGAATTATTTTTAAAAAAATTAAAATCAATTTTTTAAAAATAATTTAATTATAATTAGTTTTAAGGTAGTTTAGATGGTTTTTTCTTTTTTTATGAAACTTACTTTTGTTGGTAGGTAATTAACGATGTACAATAGATCTATCTAGTTAATTGTGGATAGGTATGGGGATCCAGCAAGATAAAAGACTCAATGAAGATAAATTTTAAGGTTAAATTTTTAATTTTATTGAAAATATAAATCCAAATATAATTTTATGTTTTACGAGTTTATAAAAACCTTTAACATTTAACTAAACTGAACTTTACCTCAATATTTAATTAATTATTTATAATTTGAAAGTTTTACAATAACATGAATAATGCAATATTATGACTGGTCATATGGTCATATTTTTTTTATTTTTATGTTAGAGTCGTTTTGAATGAGAAAAAAGTATTTTTGGGTAAATAGGCCAATTTGTCCTTGTATAATAACTAAATTTCCAATATATCTCTACATTTTTAATTACACATATTGTATTCTTAAATAATATTTAAATCTTCAATCTGTCTCTCCAATAAATTTTTTGGACCATGAATAAATTTTTTGACCAAAATGGAAAAAAAAATACATTAAGGTCACATGACTTGCATGTTTCATTTTTAAAATTTTTATTTTTTTATTTTTTATTTTTATTTTCATTTCAGTCATAAGCATTTTTATCAAAAAAAACAAAAAAAATTGAGGTTAATATCCTCACTTGCTCTCATATAATAAGTCAACCTTTCAATATGTCCATAAAAAAAAGCCTTTAATATGTCTTTATATTTTGGGTTGGTTTCTAATCTATTATTTTAACTAAAATTTTTGACTAAATTAAGCCGGATTAAACATGTTATTTGCATATGGTATGTGCTTTGACAAAATTATTTATATTATTTGACATAATTGATCTATATTTACTAATATGAACACTAATATCTGAAAATTGATCGAAAATTTTGACTAGAAAAGAGCTCAAAATATAAGAACATATGAAAATTTTTTATTTTTTATTTTTTTATTATTATTTATTTTGAGAATGGATTGAAAAATTGGTCTATTATATAAAGAAAAATGACGTATTAACCTAAAAATTTATCCATTATCAAAAAATTGATTGGAATTACAGATCGGAGACTTAAACGATATTCAATGACATAATAGATACAATTAGAAATGCGAGGGACAAATTGAAGATTCAAACTATCATAGGTCAACTTGACTTATTTATCCCTTTTTATATATATATATATATAACAAGAAGTATGGTATTATTATTTTTATATTTAAAAATTATTTAATTTTTTCCATAAATACCAAATTAAAAGAAAGATAAGTAGAACTAATTAAATTTGAAAGAGAGAAAATGAAATTATGATCTTATTATAATCATCATAATCATTTTCAAGATTATTCAATTTTTAAATATCCAAGATTAACTTATATTATAAAGCAAAGATAAATAACATGATCTTTTTCCTTACTCGTCATATGTTTTTACATTTAATTAATGATATATTATTATTTTATTTTTAGGTGATATTTTTATTTACCATAAAAAAAATTTATTTAACTTATAAAAAAATTCAAAAAATTAAAATTTTTTTTTCACATATCGAATACTAAGTTCTTTAGAATTTGTATCGTGTGTATATATATGCATTTTGTATTTAAATATGTGCTTCATAACGATGTATATATTCAAAGATTAATGAAATTTTGAAAAAAAATTTCAGCATATGTTAGGAATTATACTCTCTTCTTTCACATAAAGACAAAAATAATAAAAATGATAATGAAGAAAAGGAGTAGAACTCATAGTATATCTCATAATTTCGTCGATCCTTGTGAAACATCATTTGAAAAAAATCCAAGGTTCACAGAATGCCAAGTTAATTTTTCTCTCGGCTTTTAAGTTTTCTCGTGGCGTGTATGTAAGGATGCTTTGGCGGTCCAATCCAATTTACGTAAGAGGATGTTACGGAGTCGATGATGTTTGTCCATTCTATAGTTCACACTCGAAAACAATAATGCATTTGTTCTTTTCTAGTCATTTAGCAAGAATGGTTTGGTTTGGTTCTCTTTCACGGAATGGCTTCACATCTATTAATGGAGTCACTTTCTCAAAATGGTGGTTTAATTTGGGTACGAAGCTTAAGAGATTTTCAGATTGGGAAGATTTGCTTCAGTTAGTAACTTGTGATATGGCATCTAAAGAAACATATGAATGATTGTGTGTTACATGGTGTTGTTCCGGATCCTTATATGGTGTTGTCTTTAACAATTGGACAATTGCGATAACATATTTTTGCTATGGAATCAGTTTCTAATCCAAGTTCTAATGCTTTCATTGTAGCATTTCAAACATGTGCTAAATGGCGTATCATGTTAAGTTGTAGAGATTGATATGGATAGAGACCTATAGTATAAGGTGCTATACGGATTCAAGCATGGTAGTCTCGCTAGTCGGCTAGCAAAGGGATGTCAAAGAGGTAGGGCCCTTTGTAGTGGCTCGGGAGCGGAGCTCTCGAAAGATCTATAAAATATTAGGTCAAATGTGTAGGCTCGTTAAACCTTTTTCTTATAACTTTAGTTGTCTACTCTATAAATAGAGACAACATTACTTGTATTTATAGCCACCACTTGACAAAACTTAATAAAAAATATTATTGCAGTAGTAGAATAGGCATCATTGCCGAACAATATAAAATTCTTGTATTATGTGTTATTCTAGTTTTTCTACTCTATTCTTTTACTTGATTCATTTCTTAACATTTCTCTCTACCAGGACACCTCTAAAATATAATGTTAATGCTTCTTGGTTAAGCAATCAAAGATGGTGGATCGGGATTGGTTATTCGTGACGCACATGGTAGTTTTGTATCAAGTGGGGTTGTTTTCCTTTCATCCGTTCCTAGTCCAAAGATCATGGAAGTAATGGCGATGATGGAAGCCAGCCCTCAGCAAGATGAAGTATAAAAGGGTGGAGAAGTGTGGAAATAGATATGGATTGCTAGGAGCTAATTCATGATATATATTTGTCATGATGGTCCCGTGCCAAGAAATGTGGAAGCAATTGTTTTTGATAGTTTGCATTTGGCACAATCCGTCAATGTATCCGTTTTTCTATATGTTAGGACAAGCTGTAAAAAAATAGCCGATGTTATGTCTAGGTAGGTAGATAGAAATGCAAATATTCTTGAATGTGGTTAGATAGAGATGCAACAATTCTTGAATGTTTAAATGATACTCCTCACACTACTTTGTCGGATGATCTATAGTTGGTTGTTAGAGTGTATGTATCTTGTACACTATTTATTGTATCTAAAATTCAGACTAGATTTAAAATTACTAATTTAATTTTACATAAGAGACATATCAATCAATATATTGGATCTTTTACCTGGATAAAGAAATTTACTAATCATGGAAGTTTTGATTAAATTTTTAGTTATAAGAAGATACATATGAGGGATAGCTTCCTTAACAATCATAAAAGAAAGTCGAGCATGATCATAATAGTTACAAAAAGAATATGGAACTTTATAAAACTACATAGATAGTTACGGGTAAATGTGAGGCATTGTAAAGCTACGTGGATAGTTGCAAAGAAATATTGAGCACTACAAAAGATCATATAGGAACTAAAAATCAACAAATACAACCTTCAGCAGGAGAAGAAAAGCAAACAACAACAAACAATCAAACTCAAGAACACTCTAAATAGTAAGAAGCTCTCAAAGCACTCTCTTAAAACTTGTTAGACAATAGATTGTATACGAGTAACTAAAGTAGGTCGATAGTTTGATTTTTTAGTACCATCTTATGTCCATAACTCGTGTATGTGATCTTCAATAATTGAATTTATATGAGAACATCATATCTGAAGAAAGAGTCATAGTTGGTAAGCATCATATCTCATCAATAAACATGAATTTTTTATTTTTTTTAAGTCTATACATCGTTAAGTTTGCAAAGGAGTAGAGTTGATATATAAGAACTCGATTTAGAAGTTAGATTATTTTACGGATGACTATCCGACCTTTTTTTTAATTCTTTTGTTATAAAGTTTTCTTAATTAAGATAAATACAAAACTCATAAAATGCTATTGTTTTAAACTTTAAATAATGATAATATTTCTATCAATTTAGACAAGTATCTATGTGTGTGTTCATTATCTTCCCGCTAATTTCATTTTAGTGGATCGACTTCATAATGAATTTAAATACTTAAATATCCGATGTTACGGAAGAACATTCAGTCGATTAAACAACGAGTAGCAAATAATAGAGTAATCTAGAAGAATCATATGAGAAAAAAATGAAATCCGATTGTCTATTTAAGATCTTATTATCAAGATTAATATCATAGAACTTATTCACCCAAGTGAGAAAGAAAGTTGTTTGGAAGGATTTAAGATCTAGTAAGAGGTTTTAAAGAAAACAAAAGGAAGCAAATGAAGTTTTCTTTGGGCTCGACTTATATTCTTAATATCATAGAAGTTGCTATTTATTTAGCAATAAAAAACGACTAAACGATATAATTTTTTTAAAATTTTTTGAGAATCGATCCTCTAACCTTTAATTTTGGATTAGACATTCTTTCGGTTATTTTTCATTTGAAATTAGATATTTTTGTTAGGTTTTCATCAATTTTAACATGTAAATACAATTCTTCAATAACTAAAACATAAGCATTATATAATACATAATAGATTCCATCGGTCTCTAAGTTTCTAATTGCATCTAATTTATCCTTGAATGTACTTGAAATGTTTAATCTGTTCTTTCGGACTAATTTTCGGGCCAAATAATTTTTTTTATTGAAATGTCCCCGATTGAAATGGTAAAAAATAATAATTTAAAGACTTCAAAAATAGAACATCTAGGTCATATAACTTTTAAGTGTTTTTATTTATTTATTTTTTTTTTTGTTTTGCATTTTAGTAAAGGGCATTTTGGTTAAAAAAAATTATGATTAAAAAATTTGATCGGAAGAACAGATTGAAAATTTCAAAATTTTTTGGAACATATGTAATGCAATTGAAAATCTATAGATAAATGAGAGATATTGAGTATTATATAAGGACAAATGAGTATGTTTATCCTAAAACTTATAAATACTTTATTTTTTTCTCTAAAACTTGTTAATTTACTCATAACTTGTAAGAATTAAGCAATCAAAGAAATATTTTGAAGAAAAGAAACAAGTTTTGAAGAAAAAATCGAAGTATCCATAAGTTTTGACATATTTTTAGTTGTTGGAGAAATTAAAAATTCAACTACGTGTAAGTCACATACTCTTTAGTGTTAAAATTAATAGAAACCTAATAGAAGAACCCGATTACAAGAAAAATTTAATTGAAGAAAGGTCCAAGTATGAAATTAAAGGACTGATTCTCAAATGACATAAAATGAAGGTTAAGTTTGGACCATTTAGCAATTAAAACAGAGTAAATTATAAATTAGTCTTTCTAGTTTTGAAAAATGAATTAATTAGCTTCTTTTGTTTAAAAAATTAAGTATTTAGTCTTTTTATTCTTAAATTTTCTTGTAACTTAATCCTTTTTGTTTTTCTTTCAATTTATTTTGATTTTTCTTTTTTAAGAAATAGAAAAATAAAAAATATAGAATGATTGATGAGAAAAAATCACATTTTTTAAATAAAATAATATTAAATTAAATATGATAAAAACTAATCAAGAGACTAAATAATTAGTTTTTAAAACAAAAAAAATTAATTAAGTAATTTCTTGAAAATAAAAGTACTAATGTTTCATGAGTAATATGAAAAACGTCGGGTCCTTCTTTTAGTATTTTTTCCCCCTCTTGTCTGAAACTTCATCATCTCGAGGGAAACCGAATCCCATTGTTCTACGCGCAAATATTAACTAAAGCTCGAATTTTTTTGGGATGATAATTATTATGGCTGCCAAAAAAGTTAAGAGCACAGTGTTTACCACAATCTGTGGAAATTGGTGAGAACTTTGCTTTGCCCAAAATATTTTCTCTCCATTCATATATTCCATATACAATTCGCACTGTTCTCTTTAATAGGCAAGTCTAGTTTAATTTTCAGTTAAAAAGATCTACCAATCTTTGAATTTTAAACTATTTGAGGTTGAGTCTTTGAAATTTTTTTATTGGTTTTGAAAATTCTTAAACATTTAATTTATTTTTTTTTGGGATTTAGTCATCTTTTAGCTTTCTGTCATTTTGGGATTATATTTTATTTTTTTCAATTTTTTTATATTTTTAATGTTAAAAAAAAGACAAATATAGCTCTTAATTTAGAAAAATTCAGAAATTTTCCTATAAAATAAATTGAATTGTTTTAATGCATCTGTAAAGTTTCATCTCAAAATAGCTGAAAGTTATTGGATAGACTAAATCTCAAAAGATTAAAAATTAAAAAAATTTTAAAACTAATAAAAAAGTTCGAAGACTCAATATTAAAGTTTGGAGAATGGTCAGATTCTTTTAACCTTCATGCTCATGTGATGATCAATAGCTGCAACCTTAGAGACCGTCGGCGTTGGTCACATCGTTTCATAACAGAAATTCAAATTTCTTACCTATAACAACAAGCTTGTAATTATTAACAGAATTATTTATAAGTAAATAAATAAAGAACGAACGAACAATGATGATTGAGAATGAAAATAGGATATATATATATATATATATATATATATATGTGTGTGTGTGTGTGTGTGTGTGTGTGTGTGTGTGTGTGTGTGTGTGTGTCCTCTTCTTAATTTATGCTTTCTAAGTATTTTTCATGTTGAAAGAAAAGAATAATAAGTTTAAATTATGATTTTTTATTCATATTTTAAAAGGACTAGAAGTCTAAAATAATTATCAATTGATTTTAATAATAAGAGTTAAATTAAATGCTATAGCATAAGTTTGTATTTTTATATATAAAAAATTATTAAGTATGTTATAAATTGCATTTCGTTTTATTCACAAAACCATGAGATATACCATACCAAATATATTAAATAATTTCTCTTTATATATAGTTACATATGCATAAAAACATTATTTAAAAAGGTGATTAGTAAAAGCTACATTGAAGTTTCGGATGACAATAAACTAATTCCTATCCTGTTTTTATTTTGGTTATAGTCTTAAATTTTTTTTTATTTTTTTCATGAGGAACGTCATTCTTTATTAATTTTGACTACAAATGAGCCAAAAAAAAAAAAAACATAACACGTGTTCAAGAGACATTTGTCAGCATACTATTCTCTAATGAAAATAAAAGAAAAAAAAATTCAAATTTGATTTCTTTATAAATCAAATATCTTTGAAATAAAATTAAAAAAGAGAAAAAAAGAGAGACATAATCCCCATATATTCATCCCCCACGCATATGGAGAGATGCCGTACACTCACAATTCAACAGTACAATTAAACTCATTAAAAAAAACAAAATTCAAAATCACTTCAATCAGTTAGTACTCACTCTAACTTCATTTGCAGAAGTCATAAACTGCACCTCAAATATGAAAGAGCAACTCTCCATGCCACTTACCCACTATATTGAAGTCTGAAGGAGAGATAAAAAGCCAATGGAAAGAGACAATACTAGAAATCGATGGAGAGCACGACGGAGAAGATATGAAACACAAATAGGAGTCACGCTGCAAAGGATCTGACGAAGGTTTGTTTTGATTTGTCGTTAGTTTCTCTATGTTGTGGTTTTTTCTGTACCTGTAAAGGAAGAGAATGGGGGTAAAATTAATGGTGGTTAGCATTAGTTTTCGTGGCGGCGGCGAAGGCTCTAATGGTGATGGACCGATGGTTTTCAGTTTTCTTTGTTTTTCAATCTCTAATTCTATTCATAGGACAGAAATTTGACCATATGTATTAGACGACATTTTACAGGGGTATATGTTTAGATTTGTTACTTTCAGAAGACGAAGGTATGAGCAAAGCTCAACTACAGACCTCTTCCCAGATGATTCTCATTCCTCAAGAGAATTATCAGAGGAAAAAAAGGGAGGTTAACGAAATTAATGAAATATTTTTGTTTATATGTAAAGAAATAAAAATTATTAGTAGATTATATAATTTTTTTTAATTATTTCCATATATATTTGATTTATGAAAAAAAGTTAATTTTCAAATGTATCTTGATTTTAGCGGTTCATTTGTGATCAAAATTAACTGATGGATGGAATTCTGACAGAAGGATGACTTTTGATATTAAAAGAAAACATATATCAAAATCCAAATCAGAATAAAATAAATTAAAAACTAATTTTTAAGTGATAAAAAATTTAAAATATTTTTTAACCAATTAGCCTGAAAAAATTAGCTATATCGGGTCTACAGTCACAATTCTGTCATAAAAATAAACCAAAACTTAGTAATTTATAAATTGTGGATTTTCATTGTAAAAGTAAAATAAATGATGGATTTTATACATAGAGAAATATTACTATTTATTTTGGGTTAACCACGTCTCAGGCTGTGTAGGTTTAGCCCATAATTTGGTTTAGAAGCATCAAGACCGAGCCCATCCATGATTGAGACAAAGTTGGATATGGGGCTAAAACTTCACTCTAAGCTGCCAGCATGACCATTTGGCACTCGTGGCCTGGTGGACCCATAATCACATCTGTTACCAAATCAAGCCACACATCCGTAGTGATTTTTTTTCCCCCGAATATTCCTATTCTCAAATGCCCTCCACAAAGGGAAATTTATCAACATTTGAATATATCAGTTAACTCTACCTGGACTTTTCTTTTCTTAAAATAATAATATAATAAAATGAATATTTCAACCCATCTGGACCAAGAAATAAAATGAACATTTCAACTCATCTGGATTCGATCTAGGAAGAGCACGCAAGACACTCACTCTGCCAAAGACGGGATCTGACTCCACCTCCACCTAAAGCTGAATCACTGAACCCTAACTCTCATTTGTTCTAATACCAACGGACCGAAATCAATATCCACAAATTTAATATGTCAGATTTTGATTTTTTGATTTCTTATGATAATGATGTGAGATTTGATTATTTGAAGCTGCATATGAAGGGTCAAAATCAATCTCCACAAACTAATTAATCCCTTTATATACATGGGCTACTCCTAATGTATTCTTCTAGGTATCACTTGAAGCATTTCAAAAGGAGGAGATAATAGTTCGCTTTGGGTTCTTTCTCTTTTGCCGTCATTCACCTACTCGCCCACCAAACTCCCCAACACAATTGAAGCATTAATATGAGCAAGTCTCAATCAGAAAAAAGCGCAGTTCATTGTGTGCAATCCACACTTGTGAACTAGCATTTAATTACGACGTAAAGCTAACACAGAGAATTAATGAATATGCTTTTAAGTAAGTGAAATTCAGTCAAAGCAAGCACCTACCATTTTGTATGACTAGTCAACAATGGAGTGAAAATGTAAGATCCTTTTTTGACGAACATTAATTAGTAGGTTTTATGTGATTAAAATTCACTTTGGAGAATCCTATGATAAGAAACTCATTGATGTTGTTGCCTTTTACTAGCATGTTGCTGCATGTCGGGAACAATTTTGTGACATCATTTGAGTATAGGACATCATCCTTTTTACTTATGGGCTTATTGCTTGCATAAATTAAAAACACACACATATATATATTGGAATTGAGAAGCATAAGTAAAAGAAGATGAAGAAAAACTGAGATTGAACGAGAGAGAGAGTGAAACAGAGAAAAAGAAAGCAAATTTGAATTTTTCTTCTTCTATTGATTAAATAAATAACTATTTACACATAATATATATATATATATATATATGTGTGTGTGTGTGTGTGTGTGTGTGTGTGTGTGTGTGTGTGTGTGTGTGTGTGTGTTGATTTATTCTAACCGTATAAATGAAATTACAAACTAACTAACCTAACTAAAAGGGTTAACAAACTATTTTTCAGTTTCAACTAACTTAATTGACCAATTATTTTCTTTGTTTATACTCCTCCTCAAGATAAATAACAAAGATATTAATGATGTTCATCTTGCTCATAAGCAACTTGAGTCGGCCTACATGTAAACTCTTTGAAACATATTTACGGATTACGGATATGTAGGCAAAAACTTTGGTTTAATGACTCTTGTGATAATCTTTCTCTCACAAAATAACAATCAATCTATATGTGTTTTTTCCTTTCATGAAACATTAAATTTCTGCAGATATGTAGAGTCGACATGTTATCACAATGAAGGTTTATTGGTTGATCGTTCAAATTTTCAAAATCCGACAAGTAGAGACAACAACCGAATCACTTTGCATATTGTGGTAGCTATGGATCTATACTCGCTTCGTTGAACTTCTAACAACTAAACATTACTTCTTTAATTTCTAGCTTACTAATGAATCCCATGGAAAAATTGAAAAATCCGTAACTAATATCCTTATCTCGTGGGCACCCTACCCAATCATTATTTGAATATACTATTAGATATGGCTTTGAATTAGTTGAAAACGAGTAAGCCTTGCCTTAGAGTATTTTTCGGATACCTTAACACTTTGTGAGCGACTTGGATATGAATGATTTTTGGTTTATCAAGAAATTGAGACGAAACTTGTGTTACATATGTGATACGAGGCCCGGTAAATGTCAAATACAATAATTTTCATACCAATTGTCTATATATTGTAAAATTCATATAGTTTGATTCAATATTCTTTAACAACTTATAGTTTTGATCCATAGGTGTTGATACTAGTTTTGAACTAGTAAAACCATATTCATCCAAGTAAAACCATATTCATCCAATAAATCCAATGTATATCTCCTCCGGCGATTGAGATTTCTTTCACTAATCTTGCAACCTCAACATCCAAAAAATATTTTAAATCTCCCAAGTCCAATATCTTGACTTTACAATTTAAAAACTATTTCAAAACATTAATAGCATCAATAGAATTATTTGTTAGAATTATGCCATTTACATAGACAAGAAAACAAAAAAAATTTGCTCCTTTATTCCGCATAAACAATGAATAATTTGCTTTGGATTGAACAAGTTCAAACTCAAGAAATGCATTAGTGAACTTACAATTCCACTCGTCTAGATGTTTCTTTCAAGCCATATAAAGACATGTGAAGTCCGCAAACCATCCGATAATTAGGTATATACTCCCTTTACACTTACTAACCCAATAGCAAATCCATATACACGAATTCAACCGATCACCATTGAAAACCGCATTATTGACATCTAATTATGAAAGATGCTAGTCATGTGCAGCTACTAATGCCAATAACACTTTAACAGTAGTAAGTTTAGCCATAGGGCTAAACGTTTGTTAATAATCAAAGTCTTTCCTTTGGTTATAGCCTTTAGCCACTAACCCGACTTTATACCTCTCAATACTACCATTAAACTTCATTTTAATCTTATAAACCCATTTGTAGCCAATGGAGTGTTGACCGGAAGGCAAAAGAACAACGATCCAACTGTTATTATCCTCTAAAGCATCAATTTTAGTTTTCATGGCTTCTCTCTAATTAGCAAAATTCATAGCTTCAAAATATGTTTGTGGCTCGGAATGGAAGAAATTGAATCAATGACGGATCTATGAGGAGAAGACAAATGAACATTAGAGACATAATGACATAAAGGGTTAGATGTTGTTCGATATCGGAAACAAAATGATTCAGCTTATAATTCTCAAGATAAGTTAGCAATTTTGAATTTCTATGACTCTTTCTTAAAGAAGGATCAAGTTGTATAGTAGGAGAAATAACGGGATTAATGAGTTGGTCCGTATGAGAAGGAAATAGCTGAATATTATTTTAACTAAGAATGTGTGTAAAATCTAAAGAATGAGAAACATCATGATAATTGAAAGAAGTATGATTTTCTAAAGTGTTTGATGGAAGAATTACAAAATCATGATGAACAACAAAATTATGCTCGTTGTAATCTTCAAAAAATTAAACAAACAATTCAAACATGATAAACCAAAAGAAGCTTTAGAATTGCTGCAGAAATCAACGGAATAAGAAAATATATTTTCATGGAAGACCACATCTCTAGACACTAATAGTAGTATAAGATTGAATATCATACAATTTGTATCCTTTAACACCAAGTAGGATATCCAATAAATATATATTGTTTAGCTCTTAGTTCAAAATTATTTTTATTTTGAGCAAGAGTATAAGCAAAACATAAGGAACCGAACTCTCTTAGATGATTATAATAAGGAGATTGTTTGAAAAGAGCTTCATAAAGTGAGATGTTTTAAAGTATAAGACTAAGTAGTCTATTTATGATGTAAGTAGCAGCTTAAGACTACATGACCTTAGAATTTGATTGGTAAGGAGGCTTGAAAAAGAAGTGACTCAGCTACAATTAAAATGTGTTGGTGTTTTTTTTTTCAACAAATGTATTTTGTTGAGGTGTAGCTACACATGACATCCGATGTATAATACCTTTAGATTGAGAAAAGTTAACCGATTAAATTCCGAACCATTATCGGATCTAAGAAGTAAAATAGAGTAGCTAAACTATGTTTTTTTTATTAAATTATAGAAAGAAGGCATAGTTTATGACACATCACCCTTTTTCTTTTTTTTTTGGTCAACAACACCTAAGTAGTTCTAGTGAAATCATCTATAATTGTAAGAAAGTAATAAAAACTACCTATAACTAATTCGAATATAGACCACACACACACACACACACACACACACACATATATATAAGTTTAAAGGTTTTGTGGTGTTTTGAATATGAATAAAAAATGGTAATTTTTTTTTTAGCTAATGGACAAATTACATTAGAAAAATCTAAATTATAAATTTTATTGGAATGGTATTGCTATAAAACTCTTATTTTATCAGTTGAGGTATGTCCTAATTTAAAATACCACAAATCGGATGCTTTGTTTGTAAGTTTGCTAAAAGATATATTAAGAAAAAATTATGTAGTCGATGAACAAATAGTAAGTTATGTAGATAATCTTGGTTGTAAAAGAAATCAGCTGATTGAAGCTTATCAAGTCCAATCATTCTCTAGGAATGAAGGTCTTGAATCAAACAAGAATTACCAAAGAAAATCAATCCATAGTATTTTGATGTTACTAAATTTCTCATCTAGAAGATTTAATGAAAAACAAGAACAAACAAGTACATCGATAAGACTAGAGAAAGAAAAATTATGACATGACCAATATATGTGATTTTGACTTTATCTCCAGTACGTAATTGTACAAGTGAAATTATTAGTGGCATGTTAAGAATCAAAGAAATATAAAGAAGAAACAATGTGGTCCGTTGCTCTCAGTATCTACTATCCAAACATGATTATTTAGACAAGCGAGTGGATGTAAAATTCACGAGCAAGTGTATTTGGAAGATTTTTACCTACAACATTTGATACCAAAGAAGGATTAGATGTTAAAGCTAATTGTGAAGATGATATTGATGAATTTTGATTTTGAGAATTTCATGAGCTTTTGAATATAATTCTCTATTAAGGATAATTATGCAAAAACACCACTCAAATTTGTAGTATCCTAAACT